AGCGGGCGGTGGCGCTCGGCCGCCGGAAGCCGCTGCTGCGCGCGTCGACGCTTCTCCGCCCTGTCCGCAGGGCGGGACTCACCCCTCCTCCGCCGCGGTGCCCAGCCCCGCCAACACGAAGCTGTTTAAGGGCTTTTCTCCATGCTTTTATTCCGTCACATATTCAGCATTTGTTCAAAGCTTCTCAGCCTGTTTTCTCCAACAGAAGTGTCCAGTCATTCCAAAATCAAAAACAAAAACAAAAAAATCTTCAATTTGGTCCTGGCCGGAAGTGTAACATAAGAGATAACAGATAATGCAGCTGAAACGGAGTTTCACCAGTTTTTTAGTAGTGCTGGGGATTGGACCAGGGAGCCGAGCTACATTCCCAGCTCTTTTCATTTTTTTAAATTTTAAGACAGGGTCTCCCAAAGTGGCTCAGGCCAACTTCAAATGTGGAGAGCCTCCTACCTCAGATTCCAGAATAGCTGGAATTACACGCATGCACTACAACGCTCCGCAGTATTGGTTAAAAATAAATACTATTCAACAGCAGCAAAATTCAATCATTTTTCCAAACGTATACACCAAGCTGACAGCTACTTCTATTTATTATTCCAGTAGAAACAATCTGTCATACAAGATTATTACGTTTAGAGATTTCACTATTTTTATTTTATTCTAAAATTGCAAACAGATTTTTAAAATAGACAAAAGACAGTATAAACCCCAGATTGAAGTTGTTTCGGCTGGCCATGGTGGCGCACACCTCTACTCCCAGGAGAGGCAGGAGAACTGAGGCTAGTTTGAGGCCAACCCGGGCTACATAGTGAGTTCAAGGTCAGCCTGAACTGCATAGTGAGATCCTGTCTCAAAACAAAAAACAAACAAAAAGTTTTTGCAAATTTAGAGTCAGAGAACCTGGGATCAAAACTCAATGCCACCATTCACTAGCTATGTTATACTCATTCATTTATTCATTTGATATTTATTGAGCTCTCATTTTGAGCCAGGCAGTATCTGAGACCTTAGGAATATAGAAGTGTACAAGAGTTAGCCCAAATTTTCTGAGAGGAAAGCATTATGGGATCACGGATCACAGAGTACTTCCTAAAGGAAATGATGGCTAAACTAAGGGGGAAAAAAAACCAATGTGAGTTTGTTACCCAAGCAACCAAGACAGAGCTATAATGGAGTAAGAGTGGTCTAAAAGAGTGTGAATAGACAGATGAGGCTGGAGGCTTAACACAGGCGGACTGTGAAGAGCCTCTGAGCCTTCTGTTAGTCTCAGTTTTGAGAGGCATGAAAAAAGAAAGGTTTGTACCTCTATGGCTTGGTCAATTTTTCATGCCTGTACCTTGAATATAAGCAACTTCTTTGAAGGTAACAATACGCAGTGTGCTAACCATTGTTACTCTCCTACAGTCTTGTTTAGAAATTTTATACCAGTGTTTTTATTGTATTTTTATCTTTAAAATAAAAAATAAAATAAAATAACCCTTTTAACTATTTAAAAAAAAAGAGTGGGCCAGGGATATAGCTCAGCGGCACAAGCATCTGCCTGGCAAGCACAAGGTCCTAAATTCGATTCCTGGTACCAAAAATAAAAATAAAAAAAAGAGTGAAGAACTACTAAATTGTCTTGTATAAGGAAGAAACGTGATGAGATCTATTACTTGAGATATCTCTAATCACAGTGTTGGAAGCGGCTCAGAGGGAGGTGGAGAGGTGTGCTATCAAGCCTTTGTACTGGAAAAGAGTTGCTAACATGAATTAGAATAGGTATAGTAAAGTCAGAAAGAAATTGGTAGAACCAAGGGATTATTAAGAAATAGAAGAAAATGGAAAATAAGAGACAGGAATTCCGTTAACTAGATATATGATAGTGCTATTCGCTGATGAGAGGGACTTAAAAAGAAACATATTTCGAGGAAAAGATTAGCAGCTTTGGAGACACTAAGTTTATGGAGAACTTGCACAAATCAGCCTGGACCCAGCAGATGAAAGTTGGAGGAGATAACTTCTAAAGTCCCATCTAGCTCTATCATAATGTGGTGGGTGACAACAATGGTCAACTTGTAACGCCCTGAAATGAATCAGCGTGGTGCTGGGTGTGGAAGGCCCACCTGAGAATTGTTGCCAACAGCATTAAAAAAAAAGAGAGAACTGGAGGGGAAGATGGTGCACTGTTGGTTCTCCTGGAGAAGCTGGTCACACTGGTTTTCCTCGTATGAACTAGACTGTTCTCATCATCGAAGGAGGTCGGGACCTCACTGTCACTGAGGATGACTGGTTCTCCTTGGGGGAGCTCTGGTCCTTACTCTGAGCATCACTCCCTGGTTCCAGTGCAAAAGCCTGCTAGCACAGATCCTTCATCCCACTGGCACAGACTTCCTAGCTTCCACCACTGACCTTGGGGCCTTCCCAGTGCAGGTCCTTGATACAGACTTGCATGAGACATTGCTGTGGGCTCTAGGCCTCCAGCTGGACTCATGTAGGACATTGCTGTGGGATCCAGGCCCTCAGCTGGATTCTTTGGGTCTCCAGTGTGTGGCTAGATCTCCTGCAATCTTTGCATTTGACTCTCTGTGTGAATATTACAAAATAACCCTATAAATTATGTGTCCTGTGTTAAATCTTTTCCCTCGTAAATGCTGACTACAACACATTACAATAATAGATTTACAAATGGCTAGAAAATATTGTTTAGGAGTGATTGCCTTTAGGGAAAAAAAGCAAAAATGTATATTATTATTGAAGGTTTATTAAAAGGATATGCTTTATAAGCAGTGCATTTTCTATAAGAATATCAGAAAACATTTTCCTAAAATCAATATTTCACATGTATATAGAAAATATGAATATAGGATAAACACTATCCCACTCTCCATGAGAATATTAGACAGTGAACAACATTCCACTTTAATATGTATGCACTAATGGTTTTTTATTTAGAATAAACATACTGATCTATGACAGTCCTTTTGGGAGAGTTTTTAAACACATTCTAGAAAACGCTCTGCCAGCAGATGAATGATGCTTTGTACTTGTGTTTACCTTTTTCTGGTAAAGCTATTAGCTCATCATTAAACCTTCAATAACCTAAAACAGCGATTCTCAGCATCTGCTGCACATCAGCATTACCTTGAGATCTTTTGAAAGATCTCAAGCCACGCTGTGATCTATTAAATTAATCTGTGAGGCTGGGGCACAGTTCAGTCAGTACTGAAACTACTAGCCTAAAGCTTCCTAAATGAGTGAGGCCTTCTGTTTATAAACAAATGCTTAGACCGAGAAGGGTCCATACCAACCAGTCCAGCAAATTCACAGATAGTGAGTAAACATCAGTCATATGCTTCACTCACTTAACACAGGTCTGTGATTCAGAACCCCAGCCCAGAACACTCATTACAGACCCACATCCAGCAGGATGAGCCTTCTGCTCCTGTCCTCCTGGCCCACCTGTCTTGCAGTGCCTATAGAATCCCATGAAAAAGGGACAAACATCTCAGCGAGCCCCACAATAGCTAGTGTGGGGATTGTGGGACAACACAAGTCCTCTAAGCTCCTCATCATTTCAAGTCCCCATTTGAATCTTCTGTCTCCTGACCAACAGGGCTCTTTACCATGTAGTTCACTCGAGCATAAAAACCCCTGGGACTGGCAGGACTCACGAGAGTACTTACTCAGTCCCTTATTTGCTGCAGTAACAATCACAGGAACTCTTGTGAGCTCTGCTTCCCAGCAGCTAAGAGATCACACCCAAAGAACCACACGGCCCACATTTAAGTGGATGTCCCACCCCGGTTCCAGCGTAACCCGGGCAGTGGCATGAAAACCCACGGAGTGCCATTTCCTGGTACTCACTCTCACAGAGCTGCAACGCCTGTGGCAGGTCATCTTCACAACGTGACTGGACTTAGAAATGCCGAGGAGATTACTGAAGCACACTTCTGAGAGCGTCTGTGCGGTGCACAGTGGTGTGGCCATGGGGACTATGTCTGGTCTGTGGCTCTTTTCGGTTTGGGCGTGCGTGTGTTATGGGGGAATGCGCCCAGAGCCTTCACACAGAGCTACAACCCCCGTCTGTTTTTTACTTTTAGTTTTCTCACAGTCTGTAAGGCCTCCGGGGTGGACTTTAACTTGCATTTCCCCCGCCTCCGCCTCCCCGAGAGCCGGGACTGTATGCACGCGCCACCACGTCCAGCCTGCCCCGCCCTATGTGGCTTGATTGTTCTCCTCTTCCTGGCTGCCATGCGTTAAGCAACTCTCCTGCTTCCTGTCCTCTGCCATGACGCTTGCGCCTTGGAGCCAGCTCGCCATGAACTGAGACTGCTGCAACCAGGTCCCCAGATGAACCTCTCCTCCTTTAATCTGTGGGTGTCAGTATTTTCCCCCAGCAACAGGAAAGCTGACTGATACACACCCCACTACTACCCATACGTATATTCCAGCTCTGCTTTGTCTCAACTCTGCTGTTCAGGTAGGATCTCCTGACACTGCTTATTTACTTGATTTTTCAACCTAGAAGTGCTTTCCTATGTAATTATTCACATAGTGGCATAATCTAGATATTCTGAGGATGGGTAGAAGTTTTCAGCTGCCTATAGGCTCAAAATACCTCATCTTCTGTGATCTACTTTGTTGCTACCACTGCCTAAGAAGCAGAAATTATCTTGGCCCTATGCCTAAAGGCCAGTATAGTCAAGAATCGTAGCACTAATGGGTTCATTAAGGTTGTGCTACTTTTATGTTTCAAGATCATAAGAATAAAGTAAAAAAAACTAATCCACAATACCATTTAACAAACTAGCATCTACAAAGGTATCTTCTACTAAGGTAACAGTTTTAACCGTAACAACAGTGGATCATTCCTAGATCAAGCCATAAATCTGTTTTCTTATCCAAGAGAGAAACAAGTCTGCCTCCTGATAAGATTAAAAGCAAATGAACATCATGGCTATGGTAGTTTTCTGGAAAGGGACGTGGCCCCAAGATATTAAAAAGCATTTGAGACTTACCCACATGCTTGATCTTGGCAGGAACTGGCAAGAAAATAGAATAGGAACCAATAAATTTGGGGTGATTAAAAGAATTGAGATGTGTTACATACATATACCAGCTCCCCACAGTGAATGTAATCATTATGTACTGCAACATGTGCTAATAAAAATAACAAACAAAAAAACAGGGTGATTCTTACAGTAGATATTACACGTCTATTTTACCAAACATAAATTTAGGGAAAAAGAGACACTCACCTGCTTACCATTTCCTTTGTGTGAACCAGTTTCTAAGGAAAACAAAGATACAACAATAACAAAGAATCAGGAACACATATGAAGCAGTAAATAAAACTTATTTCATAGAGAACACTAACGCACTAACATGGTAGAATATATGTTAATATTCCTTATGTTTAGGCAAATGATGAACACAGGTGCTGATGGTGTCAAGTTTGTTTCATGATGTGGGAATATCCCAACATTCAGTCTGTATTTATGTGCCCCAAAGTTACGTTCATTCTTAGCTGGTAGAGATTAACAGAGTTTACTTGCTAATCATCTCCCCAAAAGTTTACAAACAAGAGATGGTAGAGTTTTACATTTACCTGCCATGGACTTTGAATTTTGTGATGTAAAAATTTATAACATTGTCCCACAAACATAGGAACATGTAAATAATATAGCTGATGAACCCATTTCTTCAGAATTCAGACCCAAAAAAAGCCACTGTCACCAATTAGATTTTCCTCAAGGGCAATCCAAAGTAAAGTGTCTCCAGGTTTCCTCTACATTAGTAGTTTTAATTTGAGACCAACATGATGAGAAAAACACTAACTACTAACTTAGAACTAAAACCCTAGCTCTAAATCCTAGTTTCCCCTCCCTAGACATATAGGCAAATCCCAGAATCACCCAGGGGCCACGCATGGACTCAGATGTCAAGTTGAGGGACTATAACCTTAACACCTCAAATGATGTTGGCACATAACTCACTGCTCCTCTCCCTTGTCAGGGTTTGGATCTTAAATGCCCTCCAAAAGCTCGTGTGTTCAAGGCTTGGTCCCTAGTGCAGCGATATTCAGAGGTGGGCCTTTGGGAGGTTCAGATCGTGAGCGCTCTGACCGCAACACTGGACTGAACCATTTGTGGATTCATAGCTCCATCGGTTTTGGGAGCGGGGTTTTGTTATAAAAGCGGAGTCTATCCCTTGCCGCACTGACCATCTTGAACTGGGCAGCTTTCCCCTTGTGCAGGCTTCCACCTAAAAGCACCCGGGTCAAGTTACCACGGACGGAAGCCTCCAAAACCAGAAGCCAAGATAACCCTTTAGTCCTTTAAACTGATTTCTCCCTGTTATTCGGTCGTGCAAAAGCTCCTTAACACTCTAGTCTCTCCTAGCATAAGCTCAGCCGTTTTCATGCTTCCAGACACTAGCACAGGGCTGATGATTCCTGTAGCTGTGCCTACAAGCCGCACCGCTCTCCTTAGCTGTATACCTACATACCAGGCAACTCGCATTTCACAGACGGCTCAAACGACACATCCAAATGTGAACTTATATTCCCTATCACTCCACAGAACTGCTTCCCTGCCTAGGGTCTTGGTCTTTGTCAGCCAAGGCAGACAGTGGGAGACCGTTCTCCTCCCATCCAGTCTATCACAGCCTGCTAATCTCGGTTCCTATCTACGTCTCCCACGCTCCCTTTCTCCGTCTCCTGGTCTGGTGAGAAACCTTGCTGTCTTGGGCCTGGAGTACTGAGGCAGCGTCAGCCCTGGTTTCTTTGTCCCAGCCTCCTGGGGTGTGCAGAACCATAACGATGTCTAATATTGAATGTCCTTGTCTGTAAATGGGGTAATGCTACCTCTTTGTAAGGCTATTTATTAGATACAGTGTTTCTAATAAACTGAATACATAGATGGAATAATCGCCAGTATCATAATTATAAACATTGAGCAGTTACAAATGTGACAGGAAAAAGCACACAGCTTGAAATGTGAGGTACCATGATTAAAAATTATGTCCATTTCAAGACAAAAAATCTGCATACTTTCAAAATGTTTATAACCCTACAAAATCTGCCTCTGGTCTACCCATGTTTATCAGATCATTTTCTCTCTACAACTCACCCCCATAGAATGAGATTTTCTCTATGTAAAACCAAAATGAAAACACTAGTGTATCTCCACTAGAAATAAAAGCTTAAAATAGGAAAAATTTGATAATATGTCACTACTTTATGATGTGTACTTTAAGATGTACTCTGGTTGGACTCAAATAAAAATAGTCAGGGTTACTCATTTGGTTAATAGTGTTCAGTCTTTGGAAGGTATATACTACCAACAATATTTGAAATAATATTCATAAAGCTTATAAACTGGAGCTTACTTCAATTGTGGGTATTGCTTAAATACTATTGTTTCAAAAATATCTACTGCATATTCACTGCACCACAGGAATGCAAAAACTAACATGTAATGACATACTCATTGCCTTTTTTTGAGACAGGGCCTCACTATGTAGCCCAGGATGGCCTCAAGCTCACAGTGATCCTCCTGCTTCCTCCTCCCAAGTGCTGGGATTGCAGCTGTGCCCCACCATACTCTGCAGTATTGGCTCATAGTGTAGTAAAGGAATACAACTGCTAATGATGAAATATAAGAACTACAATATTAAAGAATAAAGAAAGAACTGTGGAATCTCAAGGCATTTGGGAGCTAAATCTGGTAAACTAAGGCCTGGTTCTTCACACGGAGGGTTACACGGGAGCTGAGGACAGACGGGCCTTGCACACACGGGCGGAGGTGCACATCAGGCGCGTGCACATCAGACATGCACATCAGGCGCGTGCACATCAGACAGCGCGAGCGGTTTGCCACGTTTGCCAGAACAGTGTATTTTTCCTGCTATGAACACAGGCGTGCCACGTGGAAAAGGGAAAATGAGTGGGTCACCTGTCCCGATGCCACTTATTCACCCTTCGCCAAGAGTGAACTCATGTGCAAAACGAGGAAATCAGTACATCATTAATTAGAATCATATGTATGCCTCACTAGACATTTGTTTAATGGAACTACAACCTCTGTCTTAATTAGAATCATTTATATCATCTGAATTAACATGTAAATTGATTTGGCAAAAAGTCTGACTCTCGCAGATCTATACTTATAGCCTAAAAATGTCTGTTGAATATTATTCCCAAATATCTACATTTATGAACAAAGCTGAGGCCGTTAGCTGATCAACAATGTTTACTATAAAAGCCAAAGCTAGAGATAAAAGACCAAGTTCTAGCCTAGGGCGGTTCACCGCAGCTGTGCGTGTGCTCCTTCAGCAGTGCACCAACGGCTCCCTCCCTGGGACACCTACCTTCATGAGTAACCTTCTGTGTTCCACAGACTGACTGAAGTTTGTGCCCATTTCAAATATACTTGTGATTCCACCCTCACACAAATCCATCCAGTGACGATATTCCTTGCTCCCAGGCAGTCGATCCCAGAAGGTCTTGAAGGCTTCCCAGACAGCCTCCTGGCACACTGGAAAATGACAGAGACGTTTTCATAAAATGCTGGCATGCCCGAGGGTTCACATGATGACCACGGAAAGATTCGTTCAGACTTCACTCCGACGCTCCGGGCCATCATGCCCTTTTTTGGGCGGAGAACCACAAGAATGATTGAAAGATTTCAGTTAAAAGCTTTTCTCTATGTCTATTTAAATATTTCAGTTCTGAAGAGAATCTGCTCTCCCTGCTCTTTTCCTTTGTAAAAGAAATCAGCTCACCTCTTAATAAGCTGGAGTCTTATGCATTATAAAAGTAGACTTGATAGTGAACATACAGTATTTAATGAAGTGTCCCTAACGGACTGTGACTTTAAGTTTCTTTAGTGTTTACAGATGGTCCCTGGTCACAACTTCAGACACCAGCCTGTCAGCTCTCAGGATGGCTTGGGAAAGAGACAATGACATTTTTTAATGGGCTGAAGTCTTCTGAAAAAGTGCAGTGACTGAATTCTTTGTATCCAGTGCTATGAAAACATATCACATATGTCTAAATAGGAGTAGTTAATAGGAGCTGGGAATGTAGCTCAGTGGCAGAGAGCTTGCCTGGTATGTATGAGGTAGTGGATTCAATTCCAAGAACTGAAAAAAAAAGTATTAGAAACTCCTCAAAGCTTATGGAAATTTACAAATAGTTTATAAAAATCAAGAAGAGGATGTTCACTTGGAGTAATTACTCTGAAGCTACTACATTTCTTATCTGAAAACAGAAGATGGTGAGTTTGAAATTTTACAGTTTTTCTGATTTCAGGTTAGGGATGCTCAGCTGTATCATGTTGCATTCTAGTTGTTTGATGATGATTGATGGGAGGAAATGGTCAAAACCAAAAACAATGCTTTAGCAGAGTGAAATATATGAATGTTAAATATTTTCTATCAATTGAATTTTCATGGTTAACTCAAACCTTCAATTACAAATAGTTCTGGGACAACGAGATATCCACACGAAAAGCATGAAACCTGGACCCTTACCTCAAATTATATACCAAAATGATCAAAAACTTAAACGTGTAAGCCAAAATTATAAAACTCTTAAAAGAAAAGACAGAAATAAATCTTTATGACCTGATGTTTGGCAGTGGAGTCTTTAAAAATGAAAACCACACACATATGGAAAATATATAATTGGGCTTCATCAACACAAAAAGTTTTTGTGCGATAAAATCACAAAGAAAGTGAAAAGACAGGGCCCAGGACTATAGCTCGGTGGTAAAGTGGTTGATGAGCATGTGGCCCTATGTTCAATCCCCAGCCCTGCCAAACAAACAAACCACAAAGAAACCCAAGTGAAAAGTCAATCCATAGGAAGCAAGAAAATAACTGCCAGGCACGGTGGCGCACACTTATAATCCCAGCACTCAGGAGGCTAAGGCGGAAGGATCAAAGTAAGTTTGAGGGCAGCCTGGGCTACTCAGTGAGTTCACAGCTAACCTGGCCTACACAGCAAGACTCCATCTCAAAAGAAAAAAAAAGGCTGAGGAGAGAAGATGCTCTCAAACCATTTATCTGGTAAGAAATTTATGTCCAAAATGTATGAAGAACCCATGCAACTCAAAAACAAAAAGACAACCCAATTTTAAAAATAGGAAAAGAAGCCATACAGACTTGTTTTCAAAATAAGATAGAATAACCAATAAACATATGAAATTATGTTCAATATTATTAGTCAGTAGGGAAACGGAAATCAAAATCAAAATGACACTCCACTTCACACCCACAAGAATATTTATAAATAACAGTCCTGGAAAAGATACAGAGTCATCAAAACACTTACACACTGTTGGTGGAAATAGAAAATGGTGCTGGCATTTTGTAAAACAAGCTGGCAGTTCTTCATTTGGAAAAATAAGGTTACCATATATGATGCAGAAGTTCTCTTCGCTAAAATGAAGCTAATTAACCTGTTAATTAGTGAAAGAGTACACTAAAGGCAGTGCATCCACACCATAGTAATTACTGGGTCACAAAAAGGAGTAATGACACATCTACCACATGGATGACCCTTGAAAACAACATGTGAAATAAAAGAAACCAGTCACAAAAGACCACATATTATATGAACTCACTTTTATGACATATCCACAACAGATAATTCTATTGAACCAGAAAGGAGACGTGATTATTTAAATCTAGGGAACAACAGAAGAAACAGGATAATAGATAAAATTGTTTGAGTTTCTTTTTAAAGTAATAAAAAAGGTTCTTCAATTAACTGTGATGGTAGTTTCACATTTCTGTGAATACACCAAAGAACCATCTCATTTTGTACTTTAACTTGGTGGATTATTTGATCTATGAATCCATGCATCTCAATGAATCCACTTTTCAAAATGCAACTCTTTCTGGAAAAATACCATATCCTTTATTTACCCAATGGCTTTTCACTTGGGAGCTTTCTTATAAGAAGGTACAAATAATTAACTTGGAATAACAGAATTTAAAATAAACTTCCAGGCAAATGGCAAAGTGGTGAGCAGCAGAGAGAGCATCTCTGAGATTCCCCTGGAACACAGCAATGTGAGGGACAGAGGACGGAGAGAAGTGGGTCCCCAGGACCCAGGAAGGATCTGAAGTGATGGTGGAAGCCCAGGGGGAAAGCAAAGAGAGAAACTTCAAGGAAGGAGGACGCAGGCCGTGCCTTTTCCCTGAGCCCAGTCTCACTGTGTAGGAGGGGCTGCCTGCACCTGTAGATACCCAGTGGCTGCTGGTGACCCCAAAGGCCTGCACAGTGAAGCAACCGGTGGAGAAGGGCAGTGGACCGCAGCGGACTGCCGTGGCTGGTGAGCTGTTCCCACTGGGACTGCCCACAAGGGAGGGTAACTGGCCAGGAGGCACCTTGGAGCGAGGCCAGCTGAGCTCGGGACTGAGCGGCTGCTGCCTCCACCTAGTGGCTCCCAGTGGGACAGGGCCAGTGAGGGACCAGGAACTGCTGCAGGCTGGGCACGTCCAGTTCCAGCCTCCCAGCCCGAGGCCAGCTTGAACTTCAGAGGAAACAGAGGTACAGGCTCACTGGGATGGTCCACTACCCCGCCATGGAGCTGAGGCTGGCTTGCTGAGATTGACTGACGCAGATCTGGACTCCTGTCTGCCCATGTTGTCTGCAAGGGCCAGCACAGATACTTTCAAGTGGACATTTTTTTTGCTTTTCTCCTTTTCTTTTTTATTTTCTTCTTTTCTTTCTCTTTTTCAGTGTTTTTTTATTCTTTCTCTATGGCTTGTTCTTGGTTTCCTATGAGTGTGAACATGTTTTCCAGGTTTTTGTTCTGTTCTGTTCTGTTCTTATTTTCATTTCTTCTTTCTCTCCTTGCCCCTATCTCCTGCACCGGTTTTCCAAAGTTTGCATGATCCTTCTTTGTTCCCCAGCCTTGCTTCTAATCTCTTCCTTTTCTTCTATTTTTCTATTTTCTCCCCTCTCCTTAATCCCTTTTAAATTTTCCTCCCTGAGGATAAAATTGCCATATTGAAGGCTTATTTACTGCATACAATTTTCTAGTTTCTTTAGATTTTGTTATATAACCACAAATCTGGTTTGTACAGGTAAAGGTGGCAAATTAATAGTTACCTCAGTTTGTCATTTTCTAGGCTGTGTTTGATGCTACTGATATTGCTGATGGTGCCACTTTAGCCAAAGTGACACATACTTATCCTAAGCAGTTGTTCTTCCTGCTATACCCAGACTGAGACTGCTCAAGGGTCATAAAAAATCCTATAGGCCAGTACCAAAGAACAAGGGGCTGGGCTAAATAGGCAGCAACTTCTCATTCCCAATAAATTGAAGAGGTAGGATCTTGCAACAGACTCAAAATCCAAAATTGACCTATGTCTGGAAGACATCTCTGAGAAGTAGTCATTTCCTAAAGGTTCTAAATGCTAGCAATAACACTACTCACCATAAGCAACTTATAAGCATCAAACCAGAAATTAAACTAAACAAATACAAAATGAGAAGACACTTAAACAAGATGTAACCCGAGACATTCAGCTCACCAAAGACAAACCCGGGGGAAATGAAGTGGAACAATCTGAAAGCCACCCTCCTGGACTCGCTGAAGTGATAACAACGAAGCAAATGAACAAGGCTCTATAAAAAATCAAATCAGAAATAATTTCTCAGATAACTACAAAGATAGTGACCATAATGAAAGTCATTCTTACAGACTCTATAGCATATAGAGATTTAAAAAAATAGAGGAGTTTAGGAGAATGATGGAAATCATGAATTCCCAACATAGGAAAGAAATTAAAACCATAGAACAGATATTGAGGAGATTAAAAATTCAATTGAAAGGATATGCATCAGAGTGAACCAATGTGAGAACAGACTCTCAGATACAGAAAACAATCATGAAAAGAAATATTTCTTTAAAATAGCAAAGGATTATGAGGAATCAACACAGCAGCTGCTAGATGATGCAAAAATGAATAACATAAGACTGACTGGAATCAATGAAAAAGCAGGAGATAGTGCAAATGACGTTTTTTTAAAAACCTGTTCACAGATGTTATGGCAGAAATTTCCATATTCCCCAACTCCATATTCCCCAACAAAATGAATCCACCAAGCAAAACAGACAAACAGAAGGGCGGAAAGGGAGCTAACAACAGGAAAGTAACATGACAAAGTCAGTACATAGCAGTTACAACCAACAATTTTAATGGTCACAACTCTACAATTAAAACAAACACTGGCAGAATAGATCAAGAATTTAAAATAGTTACAAACTGATAGAGAAAGAATGTGGGGGAGGACAGTCTAGAACTTTCATGCAGCACAGAAAAGAGAACCTAAATAGGACACTGCAGACAGCAGAAGATAAACATCAGTATAATTATGGTTGGAGATCTTAACGCCCCACTACCACAAGTACAGCGGTACCTCAGTTCACAAAAGCTTTTGTTTGTGAACAATTTGATTCACAAGCAGAAACATTTGGCAAAACTTTATTTTTGTTTACAAACTCTGCATCAGGTGATG